TATTTCAATCAATAATAGGAAATGCACCTCATTCTTAAGAGGTTGCTATCAATGAAATTTTGGCTCTATTAACTTGGCATTATTTCTCATTGGCACATGGACTACACGTAATAATTTGATTGTATTATTTGGTCTCATTCTTTGGATCAATTATAGATTGTAGAATTTAGTTAAATGATGAAAACGTAATGGATAGCTCATAGGGGTAACCAATAATTTACATGAAATGACAAAAAAGAAAAACAAACCAACAAAAAAAAATGGATAGGGAAGCCAACATGCATAGTGGATGCATGCATTTTTTGGATGGTTGTTCCCGTTGTATCGTATTGTATTGTTATTCAAAACAATGTTTGTTTTGATTGTTTCATTAAAACTGGTTGTATTGTATTGTTAAATTCATTGTCCGGGAACAATGAAAAGTCCCCTTTTTTGAAACAACCGATTTGGTGTGGTGTCATTGTTTCCTAATTTTCCTTCCAATTATGCCCTAACTTATTGTTCCACAATTCTGTTTTACCCTTTACCTTTTTTTCTATTTTAACTCCAAATCTCCAACTTATAACCTACTTTGTCTTTTTCTAAAACTTCTGCCGCCAACGTTAAAGGTGTTTTGCCGCCTTCTATTTTATTTTTTTCTAATTTGCTTTTAACTCAATTCTAATTAGTTGTGCTCCTTTGTTTTGCCTTCTTCTGTCTCGCTCCGCTTTCTTAAGGTGGTTTGCCTTCTTTTGTTTTGTTTAAAATTATTTTTAGGCATATTGATTGATAAATTTAATATTTAAACAGTTCAGGGTCTTTTAGTAAACTTATTAGTTACAGTACAGTACGATACAGTCAAACCAAGCAGCGAAATATTATTTAACAATAACAAACAATACAATCTATCCAAACATTATATTCATAAAACGATACGATACAATACAATACATTATAAAATGATGGAGAACAATGATCCAAACAGAGTGTAAACTATATTAATTTATAGTTCACGGGTTCAAGTCTTGGAAATAGCCAGTAATGCTTTCATTAGGATAGACTGTCTATACACCCCTTAGGATGCGGTCTTTTTCCGGACCTTGCGTAAACACAAGATGTTTTGTGCATCGGGCTGTCATGTTAGCTTTCTACATTGGTAAAATAAATTCTGAAAACTTAGACAAAGAAGAATAGAAATGGAGAAGAAACATAATTATATTCGAACTCACTGATTTCATAGCGTTTTCTTAAGGAACTTAATCCTCTCCTAATATCCGAGGTTTAAGATTATTTTCTCCAAATATAGAACATACAACCTTATTGGTGTAGCAGTATTTCAAACCCCAGTGACCAACAAACTTGAAAATCAGTAGCAAATCACACTATAAGTAACTTACTATTTAACTCAGAAAGAGAGAAAACTTCAGATTTTTCGTAAAAAAAATATGAGGGGAAGGCCAGATATTTATAGCTAACTTGCAGCCATTCAGGTGACCTTTCACAAAAATGGCTATCACGAGAACGACTATTTTTGCAAAGTAAAACAGAAAATCAAAACGGAAGGAAAACAAAAGTCGAGCGACGATGAAATATTTGCATTCTTCTCAACTTTTTAAGAGCTAGAAGAGGTGCATTTATATACAAACACAACACACATCTTTTCCTCTCCAATATGAAACAAAGTCCTTTTGTAAATGAGAAAAATTCAAAATTTTATTTTCACTCCATTTTCCATTTACGCCATTTTAATCCAAAAACCCAAATGCCCCCCTTTATATTAATTTATAATAATTGGTGATAAAAATGAGTTGAGATAAAGAATAAACTTGCAATATTACTAAGAAAAATGGGATACAGAGCAAAATTATTATATAAAAAATTAGGGTAAGAAAATATATGATTATTTAATACCTTAATAAGGAAGGGCAAGATGAGAGAACAAAGCAAAGTAACGACACCACCACACCAAATCCGTCGTTACATAAAGTGACACTTTTACCGTTACGTAATGCCGAACTTAAAGATACGATACAATAAAATATAAATAATAACCAAAACATATATATTTATAGTAACAAACTAACAATACGATACAATACCATAGGCAACAACCATCCAAACAAGCCTACCAGATTTCAACTATATAGTAATTTCATATCTAAATATTATGTATATTTATAATATAATGAAAAAGTTGGAGGATTTTCTTGCATTTGCCACAATAGTTATCTCGTAAAAGTCAAAATATATATGCTGATAATTATTTCTAAGCCATAGGAAAATCAACAAAATTTACTAAGGAGTAGCACTACTTGCAGACATTGTGCATTTAATAGTTAGTAATACTACCATCAAAGGTGGTGTTGGATTAATAAGTAAACTTTTATCTTTAATTAATTCTTTTGTTCGAGCCCTAGAAATGAAGTCATTTTTTGTAAGGTGTACTTTAACTCCCAAAATGAATTTTTTCATAGCAAATTCGAGTTAATTGAGTCCCAAAGTGAACTCCAAATATTAAGTGAGAAACAAAAAAAAAAAAGCTGGTAATACTAGTTTGGTTGTCTATCTTCATTCTTATTGGGCGTTTGGACATAAGAATTGTAAAATTCCAAAAAAAAAAGTGAACTTTTTTTAAAGTGAAAATAGTATTTGAAAATTAGAGTTGTATTTGGACATAAATATAATTTTGAGTTATTTTTGAAGTTTTGTGAGTGATTTAAGTGAAAATTTTAAAAAACAGTTTTTTGAAGTTTTTCAAATTTTCGAAAAATTCCAAAATTTATTTTTAAGTGAATTGAAAGTTATATGGCCAAATAATGATTTCGAAAAAAAAGTGAAATTTTTTCGAAAAAAGTAACTTTTCTGTTTTTAATTATGTCAAACGGGCTCTTATTCTTTTGTCATCATAGTCAAGTAAGCCGTGTGCGTAAAACACTACCAAAGCTATAAGGCGTCAACTTTTGGAGTAGAAATGACACTAGGTAGCCATCCTAAAGGGCTGCTATATAGAAATTAGTCGTCGATTTTAATTTTTTAGTTTAATATTTTGTGACAAAATGTCCTGAATTGTCCTAAAGTTAGGATTTTTAGTTTAAAATTTCAGGACAAAATAAATATTGGCTAATCTCTAAATAGCATACCTGAGAATGACTATTTGTACACTTGCCCCACTTTTAGGATTAAAATAAATTAGCTAAAAAATTGGTCATAATCAAATTTGTTTAGACTAACTATTCTTGTTATATGACTCAATTGTAGATATAGCCTAATGTATTCTAAAATTAAACACTTACACCCATTACAGAAAATTTACACAAATATATCCCATATATTTTAAAAATGAAATTCCAATTTATTATGAAAATCCTACACAAATTACAATAATATATATATTTTTTAAAAGGGGGTCTAAATTCTTTTTCTTTTTTGTGTGGGTGAAATATAATCTAAAATCCTACACAAATTAAGAGCTTGTTTGGAAAGCCACCTTGGAAATGGATATGGGTGTAATTGGGTGTAATTACAGTTTGACATGTTTGTTTTACCAAGTAATTACTTGGTCAGCATGGAACTGGCTGTAATTGGAGGGGTGTAATTACACTCTCTAATTCTCAAGGGGAGGTGAGAATTGATGGTAATTACACTGTGTAATTGCAAGGTTGCTTTTTAGTTTTTTTCCTTTTCGTTTTTATTTTAATTTATTTTATTATAACTTTTTATTTCTATTATTTTAATTTTTTGATTTTAATTCTTTTGAAATTTTAAAATATATTTTTCTTTGTACATTATTTCTCTTTTATTTATCTATATTTACTTTTTGTGATTCCATGTAATTGCTTTTATTTTATTATTCTATTTTTTTAAACTACACCTCCTAATATTAGAAATAACGAGTCATTTACAAACTTGACATATAATGAAGTGATGCAATTAAAGTGAAATTTCATTGTTGAATGTGGTTATAAACTTATCATGTTTCCTAATTATTAAGTTGCACTGGAACTTACTATTATTATTTGGAATTTGACATATGTTAAACTATTTTATTTTATTTTTGAATTTTAAAATTGTGTTATATTCATGATTTCAATCTACTTGTTTTAGTAGTATTGGCTCACATTGAATGCTGTTCATTTTTTAGTTAGAATTGATAGATTAGTTTTGTCAAACATTTGAATAATGTTATGACATTATATTTGTAAAATGTATTTTATATTTTTGTAAGTATCTAAACTAAATATTATTAATTTAAAAAAAAATATATAAATTATTTTTACAATATTAGTTATAAATATATGATTACTAAATTAATGTATATTCACGAAAAAATATACATCTTAAATACCAAATATAATATCATTTATACTTATAAAATTTAGAGGCATATATTTATTATATTAACTTTTAAGTTTTGATAATTACTTAATCTGAAATTTAATCTAATTGTGTAATTACACTTGTGGAACCAAACAGTAAACTTGTAATTACACTGTAATTATACTATGACAAACAAACACGTCGTCGTAATTACACAACTGTGTAATTACTACCCTAGTAATTACACCAATTTCTTAAAAAAATAAAAAAAAAATATATTTCACAAAAAAAAGAATCTTCTAATATTATGATTATCACGTGCGAGGAACGTTTCTTTCCTTATTTTTTTCTCCAAAAAGGCGTTAACTCATTAAGGCACTACTTGTATCATAAACCAGCACGTGAACAGACGTTAAGTCATAAAGGCGGGATAATTGTTTTTTTCCTATTTTATCTTTCACGACAATAATAATTTATTGAATTTAAATTATTTATGTAGAAAAGACAGAGTAAAGGCTTGTGCAGAACAGAGAATCACAAGGGGACCAATGTCTTTTTTCTGACAAGACAATGGGTACAATTTCATGTTTATAATAATATATAAAAAATAATAATAATATTGCTATTAATTTTTTTTTCAAGATTACTTAAAACCAATGTTGAAAGATTAGACATGAATGTGAATATGATTACTTAGGTAATAATAGCCTTCTCTATCTGTTTCCCACTTGCTCTCTTGAGTTGTTCAACTAATAAATGTCACCTTTTTCTTATTCCTTTTGATTCTTTAATAAAATTATATATTTCATCATTAGTTCCTGGATTGTAATCCAGGATTTTGCTCACTAGGGATTCCAAGATTTTTTATTTTGAAACTCTGTGAAGATTCACATTTGATATAGAGTTTGGTTTATCTGTAAGTATATGTTAGTAGAAGTATAAATATTGGTTCTTTTATTTTTCCTGAAAGAATGGTTTACTTATTTTAAGCTTGATTTTTACTATATGTGAAGGGGAAGTGTAAATATTGTTTTTTGATTATATATATTTGATTTGAAAGAATGGATTTTTTTTCTGCTTCACTTTGTAATTAATGCTGCTGTTTTTGATTATTTGTTTACCAATTTAGCATTTTTTTTCCCCTCAATTGGGGTGGGACAGGGGGCTGATAATTGCATTTCTCTGATAGGTTTTTTGCTGTTTGGTTTTAGAATCTGTAAGCATGTTAGTAGAAGTATAAAGATTGGTTCTTTTATTTGCATTGAAAGAATTGGTTGCTTATTTTAAGCTTCTTTTTTACTAAATGTAAAGGGGAATTGTATTCTTGAGCCGATGTTCTATCAGAAACAGCCTTTCTCTAGGGTAAGGACACACTATCCTAGGTAGGGTAAGGACACACTATCCTCCGCAGAGCCCACTTGTGGGATTACACTGGGTTTGTTGTTGTTGTTGAAGGGGAAGTGTAAAGATTGTTCTTTTATTTGATTTGAAAGAATGGAGTTTCTTTTTTTTTTTGTTTTGCTTAACTTTTTTATTAATGCTGTTTTATTTGATGATTTTGTTACCAATTTGGCACCTTTTTTCCCATTTGGGGCAGGATAGTGGCTGATAATTGCATTTCCATGATAGATAGATTTTAGTATCTGTAAGTATATTAGTAGAAGTATAAAGATTGGTTCTTTTCTTTCTTTTAAAGAATGGGTTATTTTCAACTTGGTTTTTATTATATGTAAAGGGAAAGTGTAAAGATTGTTCTTTTCTTTGATTTGAAAGAATGAGTTTCTTCTTTTGCTTCACTTTCTAATTAATGCTGCAGATTTTAATGGTTGTTTACCAATTTAACACTTTTTTTCCATTTGGGATGAGACAAGGGCTGATAATTGCATTTCTCTGATACATGTTTATTGTTGGTTTGCTTTAATTCATTGAAGGTTTTTTCTTCTTGCAGTTTATTAGTTTATTTATACAATGCTATGACCTTCAATTCATGTTAACTGCTACTAAAAGTATGAGAATTTTTGTTTATCTTTTAAGCTAAGCGCCTCAGGTTCAAATGTCTTCCTTTTCCGTATAGCTAATATTATTAGTTTCTATATATTTGTCGTATAGTTGAATGTCTGATTTTGTTCATTTTTGTTCTTGTTGCTAGAGTATAGTGATGGGGAAGTTAGGAGTGCAGAGCATATTATTTGCAGTTATCGTTCAGATTCTAGTAATATCAGCAGCTGCTAACATTAAGAATTTGAAGATATGGCCGATGCCACTATCAGTTAGCTATGGACATAGGACTCTTCAACTTAGTAATGATTTTGTGCTCAAGACTGAAGGCAGCAAGTATACTGATGCCTCTGGAATTCTTAAGGAAGGTTTTTCTAGGTTACTTGATGTCGTTAAGGTAGCTCATGTGGTTGACGCCAACTTCTCATATGCCGGCCCCTCTCCAGTGCTAATGGGAATTCAAGTGGTTGTCCTTTCTCCAAGTGATGAGGTAATCTTCTGGATGAGCTCAGAAAATGATCTCATAGCTTTTTGTTCTTTGCTGTTAGCTTGGTCACTTACTTTGTCGTTATACGGTCATTTAACTGGTAAATGGTTCTGCAACTCAATGAATTATGGGCTTTGTCAAAGGAAAATAAGTAGTATGTGGGAAGAGCTTTGTCACTCTGCCATTTGAATCAATTTTTCAATCCCCCCCACCCCCACCCCACACACACAAAAAGAAAAGGAAGAAGAAGAAGAAGAAAATGATGGGATAGTTATGCACATTACTTCTGAGATGTCAGTCATTTCAGTAACAATATTTATGAACTCTTACTTTCCACTAAAATAATCCTCCGATACATGAAGTTTCTAGGGAGCGCTATTTTTGTGGCACATTTTGACTGGCTTGTGGATTAATAGTTTTGCAGAGGATAACACATGATGACTTTTTTTGATTTATTATTGGAGCGAACTACTGAATTTTTTTTGGTAGATTGCACATTAGGACTTCGAATTCTAATAAACTGTCTCAGTCAAATGAATTATTGCACGCTTTATATATTTCAGGTGCTTTCATTCTGCTCAATTCAATCTTTACAAATCTTTCCTTGAATGACATTTTCTAAATCAACTGAATAAAACCTTGTGCAATGCAGCTACAGTATGGTGTTGATGAGTCCTACAACTTGACCATACCAGCACATGGAAACCCAGCCTATGCACATTTGACGGTAGATATTATCAGCTTTTCTCTGTTGATACTATGATGCATCTCTTTTACAAGATATTTTGTCCAATCAAATGCTATCCCTGTAGCACTACTGCAGTATCTTCATAAAGTAGGGGTAAGGTCTGCGTACACACTACCCTCCCTAGACCCCACTTGTGGGAGTTACACTGGGTTGTTGTTGTTGTTGTTGTACTAGACCTTAAAGTAATTTTTTGCCAAAATCAATGGGTTAGGTTATAGCCAATAATTATCTTTCATCACAGAAACATTTTCAAAGCTAGACTTTGTTAGCTTAGCTACCTAGTATTATAGTGCATGATAATGTCATGCATCCTATTCCTTTACAATTTTTGTGTTTTCTTATTGAATTAGAAATTCACTCACTAACCAAACAAATTTTGATTGGTACAAGGGGGAGAATATTTAAGCGTGGTGAATTTCATTAAATCTTCATTTGTTATAGAACAACGCAGAGGCAGCTACTGCTAATATATTTATTTTTCTGTATTATTATGTCTCTCTGAAGTTGCATGATATGCTTAAAATATGACTGTGTATAAACTTTCTCTACTTGCATCTGTTTTCATGTGGTTCTATTTTTTCTTCTTCTTTGTCTTTATTCTTCCTGAAGTTGTATGGAGTGTTTGAAAACAACCGTACATGCAATTTGTCTGCTCACATTTGTGCTTATGTGATTGGATGGCGAGAGATTCTTTCGTGCTTATCACACTGAAAGATTTTAACTTTCTGATAGTCACTATTTAATGCAGGCAAAAACAGTTTATGGGGCTTTGCATGGTTTGCAGGTTTGATGCTTCCGCTCAAGCTGAACAGCTATTAGTAGTTAGTCAATTATATTTTGCTTTAGATAGATGCTCTAATATTTGTTTTGGCATCCCGACAGACATTTAGTCAAGTATGCCATTTTAACTTTACAACCAGAACAATTGAAGTTCATCAAGTTCCGTGGACCATAGTTGATCGACCAAGATTCTCTTATCGAGGGCTTTTAATTGGTGAGAGACTTCTCTAATAATTTTAGGGACCGTTGCTTTTACTTATTTCATCTTTCTTTTCTAGTTTAACACAATGAATACTTTCCAAGTAAGAAATTTACCATGTCATATTCTGTCAAGTTCTCTTCTGAATGTAAGATTTGCTGATATCCTTCATCATCTTGCAGACTCTTCCCGTCACTATCTGCCGTTGCCTGTGATATTGAAGGTTATTGATTCGATGGCTTATGCAAAACTGGTATAGTAACTTTTCTCCGGCTAAATATCATGTACTACTTTTCTGGACCTCTTAATAATTGTTTAATTTATGTCTCCCTATATCTTTCTGTCCCGAAACATCTATTTTTTTTTAAATTATTTATGTGGAGTTGTTTGCATCCTCACCTTGGGAAACTTGCAAATCTGTGCAACCCTGCTTCCTCAGGAAAAGGAGATGAAAGAAAACCTTCTTATACTTGTCTCATTATTATTATAACTTTCTGAAAATTTTCATTTTTTAAATTTTTTCAAGCAGGGCTGAGTAGTTGATAGAGCCTCACGTATTAGTGAGGCGAGATTGATACAATAACTGTTGGACAATGTGAAGTATTTAAACCTTTTGTGTGCATGCCAATTTAGTTGATTTGGATATACTGTGAATTGCTATCTGTTTTCCCCCCAGAGAACACTCTTTTTTCACTTCATGAATGCTCTTTTTATGCCTTATGCAGTGGCTGGTGCTTATCCTAAATCTTTTTTGGAAGGTCACCCAGTAAAAGTTGCTAAGAATAAAGAAAGTCAATTATATGGATATTCAAAGTCAGTAATTTGAATAAGGTGTCTTGCTTAACTTTGTGTCGAACTATGGGAGGTTCTTAGGCAAAGTACTTGCGTGATGTCTTATTCTTGTCGGTATTCGAGTCCTTATTATGTTATCAATTTGATGATGTCACTAGAAGCATTCCGATGCCTATTGGCAGCAGTTCGTCGGATGACATGCATATATCTTACTTCTTGTTACCAAGACTTCTGATCCACACAATTTGCCCTATGCAGAATGTGCTGCACTGGCACATTGTAGATACACAATCATTCCCACTTGAGATACCTTCATATCCGAAACTGTGGAATGGCGCTTACTCAAGTTCAGAGCGGTACACTGTAGCTGATGCTGCTGAGATTGTAAGGCAAGTTATTTCTTTCATGCTTCTTCATTCTTCTTTCCTTGGCTTTTGATGTGCAAATAACATTTAACATTTAAGAGTTGCAGATATGCAGGAAGACGTGGAATCAATGTATTAGCTGAATTAGACGTTCCAGGACATGCTCAATCTTGGTATGGGGTGATGAAATTCTATTTTATATTAGTTGTTGAATCAAATTTCAACAAGAATTTTTTTCCCTTGCAATCTAATCGATCCAGCAATTGTTCAATTTCAGGGGTAATGGTTATCCTTCTTTATGGCCGTCAAAAGATTGTCAACAGCCACTTGACATAAGCAATGATTTCACTTTCAAAGTAATAGACGGAATTCTCTCAGGTAATGCTCACAGCAAATAACTTCATGACCTGTACGAGTCAAAATAGTAATCAATTTATGATATGAAACTTTCTGTGTTTCAGATTTTAGCAAGATATTCAAGTACAGATTTGTTCATCTAGGAGGTGATGAAGTGGATACAAGTAAGTTAACATGTTCAGACCACTGTCCTGACTTGGTTGTATCCATATTTCTTTGTGATACGGTCTATCATTTTTGTGTGAAGAAATATTATTAACATGACAGAGAATGAAGCAGTTTTGATCAATGCTCAAAAAAGCTTATCGTTTATTGCAAAAATAATTACTGTCTAAGTCGTTCAACATTTTATTTCGAAAGGATACTCAATAGAAAACAGGGTTTTAGTGTTCGACTGACGCTCACAGGAACTTTGAATCTTTTCTTTCAAAAGTTTTACTAAGTCAATGGACATTTAATTTTGAAAGGATACCAAAAAATTTAGTAGTCCAAATTCGGTAGCTGCACAAGTTTGAGGTGTAAGATGCATAAGTGATTAAAGTAATAATACGTATGCAGGCCCCTTTATCAATTTTCAGACTTCCAGTTTCTATAAGTAGTTGTTTCTTTAGACCTAAATATTACCCAAACACATGTATTTGTATCAGACATTGACTTTAGTCTTCAATCTCTCTTATAGCCTGTTTGGCCAAGCTTCTCCAAGCTGAAATTTTAAAAAAAAGTGTTTCTTCCAAAGTTGAAGTGTTTGGCCAAGCTTTTCGAACAAAAAAACGTGCTCTCGTGTAGAAGCTGAAGCAGTTTTGGAGAAGCAGAGAAAAGTAGTCACTTCTGAGAAAAATACACTTAGAAGCACTTTTTAAAAGCTTGGCAAAATACTAATTGCTGCTTAGAAGTGCTTTTCAAATTAATTAGCCAAACACTAATTGCTTCTCATCAAAAGTACTTTTGAAAAAAGAACTTCTGAAAAAAAAAGCACTTCTCAAAATAAGCCAATTTTTCCAGCTTAGCCAAACAGGTTATTAGTCGGGTACTAATCCTTTTTGCTTGTACTGTTTACTGATCTTAACTTTCAGCAAGTTGAAGGTAATTAACTGAAACATGCAATTGAATGTTTCTTGCAGGTTGCTGGACGTTAACTCCTCGTCTAAGAAAGTGGTAAATATTTTTTGCGATTTTATTTTCGATAATCTACAGTCAGGATAGGGGGTACGGTCTTCGTCCACACTACCCTCCCCAGACCCAACTTGTGGGAATTCACTGGGTTTTCTGTTCTTTTTGTTGTACTGTCAGTATTGCCTATCTTCTATGAATTTTCCAAGTTAATCAATTATCCTTTGAAGCTTTTATTCCTTTCACTAGACTTTTTTTTATGTCAGTAAAGCAACATGCATCTCTGAGCATTACATCACTCTTATTCGATTATTTCGTTTTGTATTTTAGTTGTTATTCCCGTGGACAAAAACACTTGTCGATGGGTATGTCATTATATGAACTCTTCTAAGCTACAATTCAGATCAAGCCATTTTCATTTAGGTGGCATGTTAAGTGTTGCAACTCTCTTAATCATATGGATTACTTAATCTACAAAACCTTTCAGTAACTGGAAGTACTTGCCAATTAGTTTCGCGGAACATCATTGCAAGATGCATACCCAGACTCAATTAAGCGGCTGTATCACATATAGAGTGGAAATAACACAAATTTCTAACTGACTGAATAGTGAACATCACATTTGCGCTTCTTCAATCTCTTAGATTCTGTGTATTTTATCCTGCTTCATCATTCTATGATTGAGATTTCCCCAATGCCTTTAGCCATATGATCTTTGCACTACTCTCAGATAATATAGAATTCTTTCCTCTCAATTTTATATTTGACAAGTTTGTCCGACCATGTTCTATTTGACAGGTTGAAGCAAAACAAGTTGAATGGAACCACTGCTTATAAGTACTTCGTCTTGCGAGCACAGAAGATAGCTTTATCTCATGGATATGAAATTATAAACTGGTAGGAAGAACTTTTGTTGTGAGCTTTCGGAATTCTAACAATAACTGGATTAACTTTCATCTTCAAATTTGCAGGGAAGAGACGTTCAATAACTTTGGAAATAAGTTGAGCCCAAAAACTATAGTTCACAACTGGTACGTTCTTTTGTCGTGTTGTATAAGCTGGAAGCTCCATATTAGTTCATATATATTCAGTTGTTTTTTTCATCTCCTTTTTTTTTCTCTATCAATTAAAGTGATAGAGAAAGTGAGGAAGTAGGCATTACCAAGTCAGTTGGAAAACTTCTCCTAGAACCAATTGATGAACTAACAACCTTGTGTTCATATTATGTCTGGGCAGGCTCGGGGGCGGTGTTGCTCAGCAAGTAACTGCAGCTGGATTGCGGTGCATTGTTAGCAACCAGGACAAGTGGTATTTGGACCATATAGATACCACATGGCAGGATTTCTATTCAAATGAGCCACTAACTAATATTACAAATCCCAAGCAACAACGGCTGGTTATTGGGGGTGAGGTATGTATGTGGGGTGAGCATATTGATGGATCAAACATCGAAACAACCATATGGCCTCGTGCAGCAGCAGCTGCAGGTAGTCTTTTCTCTCTTTTATTGAATCTGTCTTCCTGAAATCTAGATTCTACCTTTTTGTTAGTTTTACAAAGTAATTATCTTTGATATGAAAAGGTCCCGAGTACATCATCTAAAAAGAGCAGCAAATCATCTATATACTAATTTGAATCTCATCGGTGCTCCAATTTTTTTATCTTTAAAAAAGAACATAAAAGTTCCTTTAGTCTGATGAAGTATTTTTCATCGTTCAAATGCCGTTGGATTTCTCAGAGGAGCCACTTCTGTGTACTCTCTCTTGTCCTCCTAATGTGATACAACATTCATGGCCACATATGAAACAATGACATACTTCAATATTCTTAAATAGCACACACATCAGATACTTTTTGCTGATTTTTAAGATGAACTAAAGCTTTTCCCACTATTCCTTCTTCTTGCTACTTTTGCGACTCTGGCTGTAGTTTCATGTGTATTAGACTATTAGTTTTGACATGTTAATTCCAATCGTCTTTCTCGTTGTAACATTTCTTCTTTGTTATTGCTGGTTAACTTGCTGCACAAAAGAGAGGCTGTGGACTGCTTATGACAACCTTGCCAAGAATCCAAGTCAAGTTACTCGCAGGTTGGCTCATTTTAGGTGCCTATTGAATCAAAGAGGAGTGGCTTCTGGTCCATTAACCGGAGGCGGGCGAGCTGCACCAGAAGATCCAGGTTCTTGCTATCAGCAGTAGTTATGTCTCATTCATTTATCAATACATGTAGAATAAGTTAGAATCATATATGTGGTTATGCATTAGAAATTGTCGATATCAATTGTAAGGCAACTCTCTCTCTGTTGTAGTTCTTTCAAGGAAAATGGAAGTTATGTCAGCCCAATCTATGAGTTCACTGGCATTCAATTGTTGTCTCTTAAGAAAAGCTATTACATGTTTCTTCTTCAAGGCATTCTAAGTTCAATGAAACAGTACCTAAACCTAGTTTCCAGTTTAGAAAAAAGTAATTTCAAAGTAGTAACATTTAAGTTTTTACGTGAAGAAAATTTTGACAAAGGTAAACCTAATTTCAGTCAGACCTCAGATTACAAGGTAAGTCTTAGGACCCTCCAACAGAAACCTGGTCATTATTTTGTCGTGGATAAGAAATACTGATGAAAGAGACCGATTAATGAAGGTCCGCTGATTGAGTACTACATCTACGGACGAGAATTAACGTTAGTAGAATAGGATTGATCCGTAATACAGAACCTCTAGGCATAACCTTTCACTTAAGACTAGAATCGAGAATTGAAACATAGCATCTGAGGTTGCATTAATCAAGGACACACAACAGAAGGAATTGTTCTATTTCCAAACTTCACCTTCAAAGAGCGTAGATTATTTTTTCAAAGTATTTTCTCGAATCACATGTTTTTCTCCTCGTAAGACTGAGATAAATTAATAAATATGAAATAAAAAAATAAAGAATCAAATTGCACCATCTCTATAATAGGTAAATGCCTCCTTTTCTCCTGAAGTTGTCGGAATTACTCATAATAAGATATTGGCTACAATTGAAAAGGTCTTATCAATAAAATTCCATTTATCCGTGATCTAGGTATAGGTAGCAATCCATTCTATATGGTTATGTAATCGCTTTGATTGAAAAACAAGTTGATGATGCCATGCATGTACTTGAAACAATTAACAAAAGAAATTAATACAAGAATTTTATTACGCCGCTAATGTCACAAGATAAATAGAGTTAGAAAAACTCTTTAATCTCAGAAATTTTGTACATGGGGATATCCAAATAATAGGAAAATTTTAAGCTGTTGCAGTTTTTCAAGGCAAAATTTGCACATTATGGTTTCCATGGTGGAGGTGGGGGTGGACTCATTGGATATAAGGGTGGAACAGCTGAGAAAATAGCATTTTTGTCAACACCATAGCCACCACTGCTAGTTAAAGAAACAAGTGCAGCAACTAGTCCTGCATTTCCTGCTAGTGTTGGCTCTGTATAGCTGAAATTTTTGCGCGCGTCTTTGAACTTATCAAACTTATCAGGTCCTCCTACCATAGCTCCTGTTATGTTATGAGGATTGGGATTACTGGTGTCTCTCCATTTCCAACCTCCAGTGCATGAGTACTTTGTTTTACCTGTGGGTATTGATGCACCCCTATGATGTACATGCCTTGGGAATTTGTTTCCATACCCCACTACATAGCTCATCTTCAAGGGATTGTCACCTAAAATATAGTTCATCTGTTTTTAAAGCAAAAATGACAAGATGTTAGTACATGACGGCAGTTTTAGTGAGGGAAAAGTTAAAACATTAGCGGTTTTAATGGACCATGTAAGCAGTGGCGGATGGAGCTTTTGTGCAATGCGTTCAACTGAACCCAATATTTTAGAAGTACAATGAGTTTAGTGCTAAAAACTTTAAAAGTTGAATCCATAAAGTTTAAATCATGAATTCACTCTGCATTTAAGGAATGTTATCATTGTAGCTTTCTAACTGTTTGCTTTCTACTGAATCTGATTAAATATGTGCAAACCTGGGAAGTGGCAAAACGGCGAAGAACATCCAAGGAGATATAGTTAGGGCCACAATTCCATCCTGGAACACCAGTGGCATTCATGTAATCGACGAAGAGTGATGCCAAAAAGGCTGCATTTGCCACATACTGTAACGGTTGTCCACGGCCATGATTCAGCTGGATCAGTCCACCTAAACAAAAGTTATGATATGTTTAGTGCTAAGGTTGAACCTATCAAGTTTAAATTCTAGATCTGCCTTTGGATATCAGAAGTCAGACCACTTCGTAGAACAATTGAACTAGCCTTTCCCGGACCAACAACAACAAAAAACCCAGTGTAGTCCCATAAGTGGATTCTGGGGAAGGTAGATAGTACGCAGACCTTACCCCTACAGTGAATGTAGAGAGACTGTTTCCGGTAGACCCTCGGCAAGAGGAAAAAGCCTATCCCGGACCAATTTATAATTTTTGTTGAACTTCTATCTAATGTAGCAATTTGTCCTTAACTAGGATTATATATCACAAGTTCTTGGAAGAGGGAGATAATTAAGACATATTACCTTTGGTGAAGTTGAAGACTTTGTACCTCTGTAGGTAGGAACACATGGTAAGACTAGTGACATTGTGATAGCTACTCAACATTTCCTCATAAGGGTAACCTGGATTCAAGAATATCCTCATCCTAGTTAACAGCAACATAGCTGCAGGCAATTTGTTATCCCAGCTCAACACACTTAAATCCGGGATCATGAAAAACGCCTTGGAATTCTTAGACAATCCAGGATTAGTCGCCAACGATATATAAGTTTTATTGCCAGTAGCATAATATAGCCAAGCTGATCCCCACATGAACTCATCGAAGTAGTTTGTGGAGTTGTAGAAAGGTTCAATGTATGGATTTCCGCGGCAATATGAAGTCCGTTTCCCAAAGTCACGGGCAAAAGCAAACAGGGTCTCTGCTCCTTTAACGAGCTTTCTTGAATATTGTGTGTTGTCGCGGAATACTATGGAGGCTGCAGCCAATGCTGCTGCCATTTCACCAGCAAGATCAGGCCCCGAGTTAGCTGTTTGGACTGGCCGTTCATAAGTCATGTCCTCTGGCCTTTGCCAGCAGTAGTGATCATCTGGTGTTCTTGAATTATTTAGAGAACCACCAACCTGATCAGGGAACATTGGAACCATAATTAAGTACGAAGATCCAACAGTAATGCCAAGTCATACATTTAGCTTAAAACTTCACTTCAGTTGATTTTCCTATATGTCATTCCACTCAATATAACATGATCTTTTGACTTCATGAATTCTGCTATAGTTACCTCTACAGAATCTAACTGAATACAAAACTTAACACACTTTTTTTTGTATGTGGTAGCAAGAACATTTTACATAAATAGGCCTCAGCTGGCAAGTGTGCCCTCCAACTTTGGGTATGCACAAGTAGGTTCCTCAACTTGGCTCCACTGTCAGTTGAACACTTCAAACTTACAAAATGATCATCTAGACACCTCCAAAATTTATGTGCCACGTCAATGCCATGTCAGCATTTGTGATTAGTGTTCAACTTTATACAAGTTGAGGTGCTTACTTATGCACACCTAACGTTGGAGGGCATACTTGCTAGCTGAAGCCAAGTGTGAGGGCTTGTTTATATATTATGCCTTTCCCTTTCTCCACACCGAAATAGGGAAACGACTTCCCTCACTTTTGAGGGGAAACCACTATTTAATTTTCTTTTGGAAACTTCCAGGAAAACCCGCAGCCGCTACAGCCTCTGCCCTTCGGATGAGCACTTTGTGGTGACCACTCTGTGCGCATTGGGTAAAACCCCCACTGTGTAATAGCCTGCAAACCACACAGGGGATGTAAACCGCACTAGGCAAGCCCTGTGCGACAGTCTTAACCCATAAGGCATTGAAGGGGGGGATCGATCCTAGGTCATCTGTATGGATGACCACCCTCCAAACCAATTAACGATCCTTAATATAAGCTTTTTTGCGGAAAAATATATTCCTTTGTCCAACCAAACATCAGAAAACATTTTCAAGGAAATAAGTCATTTTCCAGAAAATGACTACCATCATACCAACTCTTGAACTCCATGCATATAAAGTAGAATCACAACGCTTAAAAATCGAAATTTATAGTTACCTGGCTATAAAATTTGTCAATTTTAGTGGCAGTGGAGTTGAAAGTACGAAGCAAGTAATCAGTGCCCCATTTGATGAGATCTGTGACATGATCATACTCTCCAATGGCTCTGTACTTGTGTTCATATTCAATGACACTCCAACTCAACATTGTCATTGCAAATGACATTGGAAAGTGAAATTTTGTGTTATCTCCAGCATCATAGTACCCTCCAATTAGCCCTCCTTTAACGTCTGTGAGTTTTGATCCATCTTGTAAACCTGAGTCTCCTCTCCATGGAATCCCATTGTTTTTTGGCAATTTTCCAGCTGATATGCAAAGGCCAACAAATTCTCAGATTAATATGTAACGAGTGTAAGTTCCATGCACTAATGCTATAGAAACTATATACGCAGGCAATTCATTTATTTATAAGGTAAAAAGGCAGCCCGATGCACTAGCTCTCACTATGCGTGGGATCGGGAAGGGCCGGACAACATTGGCTCTATTGTACATAGTCTTATGTTGCATTTGTGCAAGAGGCTGTTTCCATGGCTTGAGACCGTGGTCACACAACGTGTGAGGCGAATCCCACATCGATAAAATACGGGAGAGATGCTGGGTACATAATTATACAAACCTTAGACCCTAGTGACCCTAGGGGAGGGGGTGTATGTGACACCTCAGGCGAATCCCACATCGACAAAACATGTAAACATGCCTTAGATGTAATACCCCAGGCCACATTAGCAAAACACGGAAGAGATGCTGGGTATATAAGTAAACATGCCTTACACCCTAGCGACGAGTTTTAAAGTCGTGCGAGCCTAGGCTTAAAGCGGACAATATAACTAGTGGGCTGGACTGTTACTCAACGACAACACTTACTGTTGCGCCAAGGCTCCACTGTGTTATCTATAAGGTAATTAAAGGTAAATATTTTGATAGGCATTAATTGGTAACATAATAAAAAACAGTAATTTACCTGCTATCACAGGTTAAACTATACATACTGACAGTGTAAAATATTTGATGTTGTATGTGTATATAACTTAAATCAATACATAAGAGAAGTGAAATAAATCTTATAGTACTCTCTTTTGTGTTATACAACTTTGCAGAATTCTTGATAGCTAAGGGCGTGTTTGGTCACTTATTTTCCCATACTTAATTGGTGGGTGAAAAACTTTTTTCCGAAAAATATTTAAGCCAATCAAACATGGAAAAATATCTTTTAATACATTTAAACCA